TTGTAATTAAACATTAAATCTTAAAGAATGTTTAACCATTTATCTTTTATTTAGTTTGTAGTTAATGAGCAGCACTCTTACAATTAACAAGCTATATTTATGCACAGTTTTTAAGAGGTTGGAATTAAAGCCATTATGTGTAACTGACTGTTTTCATGCCTCACAGTTCTACCTGAAGATGGCATTGTACACATACGCTAAGACAGCCTTCAAGAGACATCACATACCAGGCCCTAAAAACTGGAAGACTAGGTCGCGGCTGAATCTAATACAGAGATCTTGTAAAGGGGAAATGAAAGTTTAGGATAAGCCATGGGAAACCGAGTGGAATAGAGGTGTGACAGTGAGGACTCGCCTATATATATGCCACTCAGGGAGTAAAGAATGGATAATAAGTATAGTGACGAATTCAGTAGTATATAACATTTGTGAATATTTTGTGTTCAGGTGAATTTGGCAACCAAGTTTAAATTCTAGACTGTTCGAGGTCTAAATACTCTGCAGCCCACTCCAGCCTGGATCACTAGATGGCATTATCAATCTTCAGAGAATAAGTGTGGCTTATAGCCTGGTGTATATTTCAGAAAAATGAATCATCATTTCATGTATATCAACCTGTTTGCACTAGTCTGAAGAACACCTTGATTATTCATACAACTATCATAGTTATAAATAAATTATGATTTTTATTATTCAATAGAAACTTTTTTTCTTCACGTTCCCCAGTGGAACATAGGGCTTCAAGCCAATGGCTCGAAGTTTCTGTAGCATTGTTTATTTTACAGGATGGGGTTGCTAGCCTCATGCCCAACCTTTCCTCTTTACCACCTTTTTATTTCTGGCTCAACGAGATAAAGGAGTGTGTCGGTGGCCGGGGGCCGAACCCCGGACCATGTGCATGGTCGGCTAGCGCCCTAACCGCTATGCCAGCGACGTATTCAATAGAATGCAGCTAATTTAATTGACAGTAGCTAGCAGGGGAATTTTAGAGTTTGCGAATGTATTTGAATCCCCCAGTCAGTGATGATGTCACCATTGTGGTTCGAATCTAGCACCCGCAGAGTTTCAAACACCAAAGCATTATCATCAACTGGGGGCACTAGGGCTACCTATTTTTCAGCGGACAACTCAACTATTATTTGTTTGAGTTGTGTTTCCCGTTGACTGATTTTCATTGAACCAAAATACTCAATTTTTGCTGACATATTGGTTCCTAGTAAGGGACTTTTCAATGGTATCTAAAGGTCAATAATATTATGTTATTTTGTGGTTGCTGGTTGCTAGCAAAACAAATTCTTGAAAACAGTAATATGAATTCATCTTACAAAATGATTCAATGACTGAAAATCTATGCTTTTCAGTCCAACTGCAATTAACGCAAAAAATAATATTAATAATGATAGTAATAATAATAAATTAGTACTTCTAATTAAATCTAACTAAATGATGAAATTAGTACATAAGGTTCTTGGATAGAAAAAAAGGAATTTGTTTGAAGTATAGTGAACATAATTAATGTTAGTAGTGTAGGAGAGAAGAGAAGACAATGAGCAGTTAAATTTAGTATGTTCATAAAATTGACGGTAAATATTATTATATTTAGTAATAATATTCCTATGGATTTCTCTACTAGAAAGAATTTGATTACGTGGAACAGATTTTTAGGTAACAGGCAGTTGTGAACTACACTTTATTACATAATGACTGATGGTACTTTCCGACTACTGAAGGAGAAGTAGTAGTTAGATGAGAAATCTACTGACTGAAGGGCTAATACTATTATAGGTAATGAGTCAAGCATATCTACTTCAACGCATGAAATGAAGGCTAATAATTAGTTATCAGGACATGTTACAGGATTTCATCATGAGCTGACATTGGTTAGAGAACCTTTGGAAAACCAACAGGGAGTATTGGACAGCTGTTTCGTCCTAGTACGGGACTCTTCATCATTTTGCACCCAGGACTACAAGGTCCCAGGTTTTCAAGTGGTTCTCTAACCGATGTCAACTCATGATGAAATCCTGTAACAAATCAATCAGATCCCTACAAGCCAATAATTCCATAGTTGTCAGGATGTACACATGTCATCTGATGATGATGGTTGTACCTGGAGACAATTATATTCAAGCATTATTTATAAACCTTAATATACATATATACTTCATTTTCTACTAAGTTTAGTACTAATAAATTCTGGCGTCGAAACTTTTCTAATCAATTACGAAAGTTCCAGAAGTTCCAAACTTCTTACCTTGACGTAAGAATCCCATCCACTATTTAGCCTGAGATTTTTCAGCGATTAGCGCTGTAGACCCTCATAAAAGATCGACTCTAGGACATCATATTATAAAAAGAGTATGCTGCCAGATAAATCACTGGGAATATCCATTGTCATATGATTTTCAATGAGACCTAAATTTTCATCTAATTCCATTGTTAACTGTGATTTCATTGGTGTGTCCATCTTTACAAGCATATGATGGATTCTATAAGAAACGAAGCCTTGTTAAAACTTTGGGAAATTTATTCTATGGTGGAGGGTTAGGCTGGGGATGATTAGCAGTTATCATTGCCATACCTAGACTTCAGGTAAATATAGAGAAAACTGAGGTAGGGGATGAAGATTCCTGGCTAACAGACAACAATCAGCATAAATAGGAGAAATCTTAAAGAAACAACTTCCTTTACCTACCTACTTACCTGGGAAGCATCGTTTCAACTACAGGCGGGTAAAACTGATGAGGATATCAAAGCAACGAGAATCGGGAAACCGAGACAGGCTTTCATTACTCTCAAGTCTATGTGGAAACCAACAGCACTGCTAAGCATGAAAAATAAGATCCGGATTTTCAATTCCAGTGTGAAGTCGGTGCAACTTACTATATGAATTAGACTAGGCGCGTCATAAAGAGCACTCAAACAAACTGCAGACATTCATCAACAGCTGTCTTCGCTCAACACTCTAGAGCAGATGGCCGGCCAGAAAAGGTCAGCAATAGTGAAGGATCTCTGGAAGCGAACCAACGCAGCAGCAACCAATTATGCAACAAATCTGCAGGAATAAATGGAGGTAGATTAGTGGCAATACTCTGAGAAAACCATCAAGTGACATCACATGCCAGGCCTTCACTCGAGTGGAACCCGAATTGGGAAGCGACGAGTTGGTCGTCAGTGTGACACGAAGGTCATGTGAAGAGCAGATGAAAGCAAGTGGGCAGACTTGGAGCCAGGTGAAAACTTTAGTAGAAAACCGAAGGCAATGGAGACGTGCAGCTAAACCCCTATGTTCCTCTAGGAATTAAAGGAAATAATAATAATAATTTTGTAGTCTAACAGTCCTGAAATTCACCTTTCATAGGATTGTATGTGTGACGGGAAAACTGTTTGGAAAATCTCTCCTGGACAATCTAACCATCACCATATTTACACTTATTTGGGCGTTACAACTTTGTAATTATTATCCTTTTTTCTCCTAGACTGTATATCATTGTTTTGATATTTGCATATCACGTGTTGATTTGATCCTTATTATTTCTCTTTATGTATGTTTAATCTCTAATTTTATTGCTTCTCTTTGCGGTTGTGTGTACATTGATAATATGTTAGACGATGTGATTTTGTATGAGTGACTGAAGCTCATTTCTGACCTTGGACTGACCACGAGAAGCGTTGATGTGTTATTCTTGCTGACAGAGGTTTGGATCCCACCTTTTTGGATGTATTCCACTTGATTCTAAGTGCTCGTTTTGTACGTGAACTGGACTGTATAGCTGACTAACAGTACTGTTGAGGTGATTTTGAGTTTTTGATACTATTATTGTTTCGATAAAGAAAGGAAGACGAAATTTTCAGTATAAAATGATATCATTCTATTTCACAGGTTCTCATCAGCTGCAGACTACCTGAAATTACAATGGTTTTATAGATGATAATAACATACTTTAATGTTTGAGTGGTGGTAGAGAAGAGATCCTATAAAATTGACGCATCTAAATGAAAGCATTACAATTTTTTAGTTTAAGTTTTTATCATCAATTTATACGCTTTTAAAGTTGAAAATAGGGGGGGGAGGGGTAAGACAGAAAACAGAAGAATTGATTAACAGAACAGTGTTAGCTTGTAGGTTCACATAGCAACTCAAGAAACAAAAGCGGTTACAGTTTATGAGATTAAGATTTGTTCAGTGAGTTGAGATCACTGAACTAGATGACTAATCAAAATCAAAATTCTGTTACCAAGGGAGTGAGAGGTTAATCACACTCTTTCTGTATGCATAAGTCTGGTTTAAGTCGTTTGATTGCGATTGCTTCGGTAAATCATAGTAAATTTGCTGTCCTTTGTCTATTTAATATTTTGAAGGAATTAGAGATTTCTAATTCCTTGGGTTTTAGGGGGAAGTCATGATCAGTAGGGTGCAGCAGGACGAGTGTGAGGACGAATACTTACCGAAGACATTGGCTGGGATCGCGCTACGTCATGAATTGGCAGAAGTTAGAATTCATGGGTCATTGGAGCGGATCCCAGTGGCTTAATGGTATACGAGCCAGCTCGCCTTGTAACCAGGATGTCCTGGGTTCGAAACCCGGTGGTTGCGTACTGCTGAAGAGTCCCAAACTAGGACGAAACAGCTGTTCAGTACTCCCAGGTTTTCCAATGGTTCCCTAAGCAATGTCAGCTCATGATGAAATCCTGTAGCCAACCAAATCCCTACAAACCAACACTTAAATATTCCAGAATAATCGTCTTTTTCATGTCTTTGGAGCATTTAGTGACTGTACATGCCTCAAAGAAGTTTTACCAGAGATCGGTTTTCCGTCTTCAGACCATCACAAGTCAGTGCCGGTTGCACTGGTTGAAGCTCTAAACTAAAAAGCAAACATGTATTTTTAGCGCTTCTTGCTTCGATTATTCTAATAATTTGATAAATGGAGAGTAAAAATAAACCCATGAACTAGATCAACTCCTAAAATACAATAATCTGATCATTGTGAACTCACCTTCCAGCTACTGTAATTAATGCTGCCGACACAAAAGCCAAGTAATAACCTGGATAAAAACCGTGCCACATAGCTGATACAACAAAAACTACCCAAACAGCATAACGTTTTGGTACACGATCGTAAATGCATTCACGTAACCAACGTGTTGTAGCTGTATTCCATGAATCTAAAATTGTTTTTGTACTAGTACCGAGCTTTTTAGAAGAGAAAAAAAGAAAATGAAGAAATGCATGATAGTCATACAACTAATTTGTAGTGATTTTCAGCATATACATAAATAAAATACATCGACAGATATGGAATAAATAATCAAAAGCAAAAAATATCTAAGACAATATTTCGTAGACAGATGAGAGGAAGATATATAGGAATGGTGTAGAACTGCTCTACTCCGAGAAAAACTGCACTGATTACAAAAAAACATCAGATAAAGGAGACTCAAATCCTGGTCAGCAGATCTGTAAGTATGGTATATGTGCTTTGTACTACTGAAGTACAGTATATGTTAATGAACAACAATATACATGTTCATACATTTAGCAATGAGCAAGTTCTGACAGCAATACACAACCGTCAGAAAAGCGGTTTCGAGGTCACCACCAATCGGTTAAATCAATAGAGTCCCACAAAACTGGAAGTCACTTATTATATTGTCATTATTGATTCCTTTAGTTCCTAGAGGAACATAGGGCTTCAGCCACACATCTCCATTGCTGCCAACGTTTTCACCTGGCTCCACGTCTGCCCACATGCTTTGGCACCACCTCCTCCATGTCACCCTTGCACTGCCGACCAACTTGCCGCTTCCCTTCCGGGTTCCACTCGAGCAATGGCTTGTCTAGTGATGTCACTTGATGATTTGTTTTCTCAGAGTGTGGTCAATCCATCTCCATTTCTCCTGCATATTTGTTGCACAATCGCCTTATGCCGGGTTAGTTAGCTCATTTCCAGAGATCTCTTACTATTGCTGATCTTTTCTGACCGGCCGTTTGCTCTAGTGTTGAGTGAAGACAGCTGTTAATGAAGGTCTGTAGTCTGTTTGAAGTGCCCTTCGTGACTCGGAGCCAAGTTTCTGATCCGTATAGTAGCACTGACTTCACATTGGAGTTGAAAATCCTTATTTCATTTTTCATGCTGAATAGTGCTGTTAATCGCCACAGAGACTTGAGAGTAATGACAACTCGTCTTGCTTTCCCGATCCTCGGTTTGATATCTTCATCAGTTTCGCCCGCTTGTAGTTAAAACGATGCTTCCCAGGTAAGTAGGTAGTTAAAGGAGGTTTCTTCTTTCAGATTTCTCCCGTTTATGCTGATTTTCGTCTGTTATTGTTGCTGTCGCTGTTGGCCAGGAATCTTCATCAACTCTATTTTCTCTATGTTCATCTGAAGTCTCTCCTATCTTTGATGCTTCTTCTGTCAACTTGTTGCTTTTCACTTGCATTGCATATCTTCCAGTTTGTGGGAAATCAGACATATATCATCGGCGAAATCCAGATCCTCCAAGTTTTTTGTGTAGGTCCATTTTATGCCTGTTTCCTCGTTGCCTGGCCCACTGTCTGTCGCATTATCCAGTCTACTGCAATCAGGATTGCATACAATTCTTCGTGTGACAAATTTTTTAAAAACATGAGCATAATTTATATCTCAGTATAGTATAATATAACGACATGCTTTTTTCTCTGAAAATAAACCTATTTTTATCTAAATGATGAATAAAATCTGTGACAATTAGGTGTGCACTGATAGAGATATTCAGATAAGAAAAATGCAATTACATAATTATTAATAATTGTTTCTAAATAGTGTGAATCAACTTTTTTTGTGTGCAATGAATAGGAACAGTGATAATGTTATGTTTTATTTAAACAAGCATTTACTCATCTCTTACCTTCCCCTCTTGTATACTTAACACGATATCAATCAATTATGATTATTAATTAAGGCGTGTTATTTACTACACACATAATAGAAGAAAATTTAATTCATTCGTATTCAATAGCTTATTGATTTTTTTTAATAAAGCCCGGCCAATAACTGCTACCTTGCCGTGGTGGTCGGGCTTGAATACCACAATGACCCAACAAGCTAAATTGACTGGGACTCATGACCTTGCAGGTCCTACTATATCAGGGAGGTTGTTTGGATAGCGGTTAAATCAAAAGCAGTTACCATGGGGTACATGGGCTTCAGTATCCAATCGGATCAAATGGCGTATGAACCCATATGGGTCACCGGGAACCATGGGAATGCAGCTCCTGACGTTGCTCCGCTGCCTTGCGGATTAGACTCCAAGTCAAAGGATCGTGGGGTGGTCCCTTAATAAAACCACCTGCTTCGGTCTGGGCGCCCGGGCAGTATCTCAGCCGTCACACAATAAATCAAATGAAGCAACAGCTCAAATCGATGGCTCAAAACGTTATCGGATATGGTCAAGAATCGTAATCAATGGCTAACGTGTTGCGATTTCCTTCTTTCTTCCCTTCCCGATAATAGTTAACGAATACTGTTTGAACTTGTTAAGCATGACTGTTTTCCTTCCAGATGAAGTTCTTTATCCGTTCTCTACTTATATATTTTTTTCTTTTGATCTATGTTGCTTTATTATTATTTTGTGGCATATCCTTCTTGTTGCCATATTGTACCAAGTTTTTATGCGTTTAAATAAATAAAATAAATAAATAATAACAAATAATAGGAAGAGTACAATACTAGTTATCTGTAACTAATTCATCACTTAGTAAGCAGTGAACCAAACACCTGTAGTGCTGTGAAGACTGATGATACTCAAACAGTTACTCCTTGTCAAGGTAATTAGAGTAGTGAGCAACTGAAGTCCTAGTTTGTAAAGCAGACGAAGAACATGGTATAAAAAATCTATAAATTGATAAAATGTTCATTAGAAGTAAAGAGGTGTCTATGATGAGTTTAAATTATGTGTTTGTAAGATTTACATTGGTGGTATAGCGGTTAGGGCGCTAGCCGACCATGCACATGGTCCGGGGTTCGATCCCCGGCCACTGACACACTCCTTTATCTCGTTGAGCCAGAAATAAAAGGATGGTAAAGAGGAAAGGTTGGGCATGAGGCTAGCAACCCCATCCTGTAAAATAAACAATGCTACAGAAACTTCGAGCCATTAGCTTGAAGCCCTATGTTCCACTGGGGAACGTGAAGGGGAAAAAAAGATTTACATTGGAACCTGGAGGTAATGAACTACTTGATTCACACACAATGTAGTCATAGGTGAGTAGTACTACAAAATCCTTGGGGCTAGGATGAAACAGCTTTCTAGTACACCCTGATATCTCCGATATTCTCTAACTGATATCGATTCATAAAAAAAAATACACTACTCAAATAAATGAAGTCTCTATAAACCAACACTTGAAATTCGCTTTAGGGATGGATCTTATTAGACTAATGACGTTTTTGGTATATAGCATTCATAAACAGAAGGTATAAAACTGTTCACCTAAGCTCACACCGTTGAACAGATTATACCATATGAAGGCCTTCAGCATCATCAATGTGTACAGAAAAAAGAAAGCGTGCAATCACAAGTAACTGCTTTACCGCATATTTCGCTTTACGCTTCTTTTATTATACAACTCATTGAATCATTTATCTGAGATATTACATAAAATAACAATGATTTGATTTACAATTTTAGTGGGCGTTGTTTAATTATTCGATTTTGTGTTCACATATTAGATTATAGAGTGTCACTTTAGATAATACCTAAGGAATAATTTATTTTTATTCTTGTAAAATCACTATTGTAACACTTTAGAAAGCCTGTAAGAACTGTGTCTCACTGGGCTGGGCTGGGCTGCGCACTACACTGGACTTCCGCCTTCATCTATCAAAGTTTAGGTAATAAAGGTACTACCATTCCACAAACCAATCAAACAGTAGGGGAAGGGGGATCAATGGTGGAAATGCAAGTGGTTGTTGAATAACAGTTCTCTACTTCTTCTTCTTGAAATCATATACAATTCACAGATGATAAGATGACAAGCTCTTTGTCAAATATAATGAAATAAATACTACAAAATTAGACATTTAATAATAATAATAATTCATGAAGAAAATAAAAGACAGATTCAGAGAAGAAAATTTTCTTTATCGACGAAATCATCTTCAAAGGCTGTACAGTCGTATTTATACTTAGAAAAATGTATAGTGGTCTATTATTGAGTAATAGGGGGTGACATAATTGATATAATTAATCATAAGTGGCTTTAGAAGTGAAAATTAAAAGTTGTAAATTACATGGTACTCAACGGAACAAATATAGAAGTTTGATAAGGTTAAAATTGCTCTTGAGTGAGAATAAAGGTATATGAGTGTCAATTTAACAAGTATGAAGAGGGTGTGAAGATATGCAGAGATCACTGAGGAAAGCCTTTATGGCTGAGCTACGTATCAATTTCTACAGCTGACAAATGACCAACGGATGTATGGAGGATAAACTGCCGCTTTGGGTCATCTCAATGTGTGTTTATAAATTCACCTGCTCGTGTGGAGCTAGTTATATTGGCCGAACAAAGCGCACGCTTTCCAAACGCATCTCTGAACATTATCCGGCTTGGTTAGCAAAGGGACAATGCAAGACAATTACTAGCTCAATTCTCGAGCATTTGGTGAACTCAGGCCACGTAGCTCCACCTGAGTCGTCTTTCAAGATCATCTACAAAGTGAAGCCAAATGGTACAAAGGGCGTCAGGTTTCGGCTTTTGTGTATGGCGGAGGCACTGGCAGTTCATCAATACAACCCTGAACTCTGTATACAGAAAAAGTTTGTCCAGTCTCTTATTCTACCTTGGTCTTAACCTCTTCACTAATCGTTTCCTGTAAAACATTTTGATTGTTTCACGTGTTTTCAAATTTTACTTTTAGTTTGCTTTTGCTTTAATAATTAATTCACTATTATCAATCTCATATGTTCCTTTTGTATATCTTCACACCCTCTTCATACTTGTTAAATTGACACTCATATACCTTTATTCTCACTCAAAAGCAATTTTAACCTTATCAAACTTCTATCTTTGTTCCGTTGAGTACCATGTAATTTACAACTTTTAATTTTCACTTCTAAAGCCACTTATGATTAATTATATCAATTATGTCACCCCCTATTACTCAATAATAGACCACTATACATTTTTCTAAGTATAAATACAACTGTACAGCCTTTGAAGATGATTTTGTCGATAAAGAAAATCTTCTTAGCTGAATCCATCTTTTATATTCTTCATGACTCAATGGGCATTTTCCGTAATAATAATTCACTTTATTCCGAAAACAGTACTTGTGATAAAGAATATAATTTTCAGCATTAATCACAATATTGCATCTAATTTCCTCAAATTATAAATAAAATTAATCATTCAGAAAATTTTTCACATTAACAAAAATATGCAGCATATAAAATGGAAATAATAATAATGATAACAACTAGGGTAATAATAATAATACAAGTGAAAATTGCCGTGGGCTTGTTTCACACAGTATTGTCGATGCGTTATAGAAATCCTAGCATGTTTAAAAATATTGAATACAATGTTCTCTTTACATGATATGGTGAGGGGAAAAACAAAGATTACAGCAGTCATGGAGATAAGTTGGTGTTTGCAATTATGAGAGTAAAACAAAGAAGCAACAGGACCATAAATATAATAGAAATAATAAAAGTAAAACTTGAAAGTATATAAGGATGGATGGAGGAAATTGTTTATTTACTAGATGAAAAAATGTTAGTTAATTCTTGCCTTACACTATTTTCATCACATAAAATACTTGCCAAGTATGGTATCATAGAATTTCTATACCTACACGTGCGAGCATACAGTTTTCTGAAGTTACTTCTTGTTCTGCCTGAGGAGGTGCAAGGTGAAAGCTGAGGGTAAAGTGGATGCTTCAAGTCAGACGAAATCCCTTTAGCAAATTTATTGCACGAAATCAAGTGCCTATTGACAACAACATTAACTATATGGTCCACTGGGACACCACTCACCCTACTGACCGTCTTCAGCATTCCACGAATTGTGACATAGTCCTTTTTAAGCAATCCAGGAAAGAATAAGGGTGAACAATAAAGAAGAATAGGTAGGATGCAAGAGTTTATGAATTGTAAGAGGAGGGGTTGAGTTATACCCGAGTGCCTTAACTTCTTAATGTAAAATGTCAGGTGGAATATTTTACTGGAGATCGCTAAGACATTGGAAGTCCAGGAGAGATCAGAAGAGAGAATAAGTCTAAGATACTTGATTTCTGATTTAATTCCTATGTCACGGTCGTCAATCTTTTAACTTTCATGAGAATCGATGACTTCTTTTAACTGTCGTTTACATCTTAAGCTGAAATTAACAGTTTGACATTTAGAAGGATTCAGTTTAAGACCGTTAGACTCAGACCATTTACTGATTTCCGACAGAAAGCTATTTATTTTGGTACAATCTAACTGGGAGTTAACAGCCATTGAAACTGTTAAGTTATCAGCTTACTTCAAAAAGTTTATTTTATCAGAGTGAGACACGTCATGTAAGAAGAAAGAAAAAAGAAAAGGAGAAAGGACAGCGCCTTATATTGAAATTGATCAATCAAAGTAAATTTTACAACTTTATTCCATCCATATAGAAAACACAAAAATTGTTTTTAAGATAGACAGGTCAACAGAAAAAAAATTAATTCGACATAATAATAATCCTATAGAAGTGGGATAAGATATTAAAGAGGTAGGATAACTAACATAAGAGAGGATAAATAACCTCTGAATAGACTAGTGTGAGTGGAATACTGGTAGAAAAACAAATAAAATGATAAAAGAATGTAAAACATAATAAATACTTATTTTCTATAGTTGGGGGTTTGTAAGGGTTAGTTTTGTGTTTACGAGTCGATCACGGATTGATATCAGTTAGAGAACCATTGAAAACCACCAGGAAGTATTGGACAGCTGCTGTTTCATCCTAGCTCTTTGGAAATCATCGCAGTACGCACCCACCACCACGGTTCGAACCCAGGACCTTCCGGTTACAAGTCAAGCTGGCTCGTATACCATTCAGCCACTGGGACCCGATTCAATGGTCAGCCCATGAATTCTAACTTCTACCAATTCGTGATTTAGCGCGACCCCAACCAATGTCGTCGGTGTGACGTCTGGATGGACCTCACTGGTCACGAATTCTCACTGGAACTCCAGGAAACTTCATCGTGTAGCAAGTCATCCTGGGTTCGAACCCCTATGGTGGATGCGTACTGCTGGTGATTCACAAACTAGGATAAAACAGCTGGCTGTCCAGTGCTCTCTGGTGGTTTTCAATGGTTCTCTAACTGATATCAAAACCGTGATCAACTCGTAAATACTTATTTCTTTTTCCAAGCAGAAAATACCTAAATTACTTACTTCAATAGGTAAAAAGTAGATATTAGTAGCAAAACGATATTCAGGTTGACCTTTACTATCGAATCCAGAGAATCCGAAACCAGCGATTAAATTTGACAAACAACCTAAAACACGATAAAAAAAACACAACAACAAACCATTTATAAAATATAAGCTATAGGTTAGTTAAGATGACTTCTTTTCTATGACTATTCATCTTAAGAAAAAGACGTTAAACAGAGAAGAAAATTTTCTTCTCGACAATTCATTTTCATAATTATATATATATATATTATATATATATATTATATATGTATATATCTAAAAAAGAATTCATAAGACCAATCAGATACTGGTAAAATTTGTCCTCGAAAACGTATTACACAATCTAAGGTGTAATCTGGAAAGGGTGACTGATTGGAAACTAGAAAAAGGGGGGCAGAAGTTGGTATGATGTAACAAGTGTGAAAAAAATGACTAATCAATATGGTTGTCTAGAATAGATAAGAATTGGTGGAAAGACGATAAAGCGTTTTTATAAAATCTATATGAAAACGCAATGTTATTAATAAACAGTAGTAGAGTGATATTCAAATAATGATGAGAATAATAATAATAATGGTAAACTAACATAAGAGGAATCAAAATTATGGTGAGAACGTTACTCTGGTCACGGTAGGACGAGTGAATGTATGTGCTGCTTTTGAATGAAGAGGCCAGGTTTCAGATCCCGAATAGCCAATGATTCATCATATGTGTAGATGACGTATTCGAAGTCCTTTCGTACGATATTGAGGGACTCTGTGTAGAACTGTCAAGCATCCATGCGGGATGCTCAACGTCGAGAGTTGACAAGGTGTTCGACGATGGAGCTGCTGCTATTCTTCTTTTCCCCTCTGACTAACCAAGCTGGACAGTGTTCCAGAATACGTTTGAAGACTTGACGTTGTTTACGGTCGATGTGTGGTGAGAACTGGCTGTTATTCAAAATTGGTGAACAGTAACTTATGTCAATGTTTATGTTCCCAATGTTGGTCGTGAGGAAAATGAGAACAAAGGCTTTGCGTAGGTGGATACAGCTAACATATAGATGATCTGACATTCAAAAAACAGTCACAAAGAGATGCAAGGTTAACTTTCTGTAAGAAACAACCAATCAGAGGACTGTGCTTTTCTGTTAACAATAATCTATAATATGTATATGAAAATCTATAAATATGTGCTAATTTCCTTAATAAAGGATCTGTTGCCTGGCCCTTGTCTTCTGTTGTCACAGATATACTTTGCTCCACACAAACAACTAAAGTGATAAATACACAATGAGGTGGCCAAAAGTGGTGTCTTATCCTTAACGTTACACTGGATTTACTGTCTGTTGGAGAATGTGATACGTCAGGTGACTGCTTGAAATGTCTTTTTCAGACATTTAGAAAGGCTGTTTCTAAGAATTTCTGCTTCGATGTTACCCTGAATTCCAGGTTCATGAAGAGTTTTCCTACGAGCAGTTGTGATTTCTGGCGACGTATGCCTTTCTTTCATCTTTTTTTCTATGGATCTTGGCGGATACCCGTTCCTTAGTAGGATTTCACGTAACGAATTTAACTCATTCTGTATTGTCTTCCGAACAGATTTTTAGAATCCTTGAACAATATGTACTACTAGGTTTTGCTTTTGGGCCAGTGGGACGAAACTCAGGAAGTTGATAAACTGTTCTGTCCATGTTGGCTTCCGATATATTGATCTTTGGATCGTGTAATCTTGTCTTCTGATAAGTAGTACATCCAGCAGTGGAAGTGTCATGTTTGATTCACGTTCTAAGGTGAATTTTAGTGATGGGTGTGCTGTGTTGAAGGTTTTGGGAAGATGCTCCAAATCAACTTTTTGATCACAACTCATAAACTTATCATCTACGCAACTCTTATATAGGTGCAGTTGACTTATCAAAAGATCGAGGATAATGTTTTCGAGACTCGCCATGAAGCAGTCAGCTACGAATGAACCGAAAGGGGACCCCATACCTACACCGTCTTTCTGTACACAGAATTGTTCATTGAATTTGAATTGGATATATTCATCTGCGAAGTAGTTGTAGTAGTAGTAGTTAATGGGAATAAGACCAACTAGGTTGTTGGTTTCAATTTAGTCACAGATGAAGCATATTGTTTCGGTCAGTGGGATGCTTGTAAATAGAGAGGTAACATCTAGTGAAAACATTTGTCTTCCATCAAACACGTTGATATCTTTCACTGAATCAATGAAGTCCAATGTATCACTAGGGCTCTACTTTGTCAAATGTCTTCTTACCAGTTCAAGGATATCAGCTGGCCACTTTGCGATCTGATGATATGGCGAATTGATAATGTTTATGATAGGTCGCTAAGTGGAACATTCTTCTCATACACTTTAGGCAGTCAAATTTGATTTGAGATTCTTCATCAGTATCCACTCTCTCACAAATCTATCACAATGAATAATTTTTAACTTTTATATACTCACTAGCACAGGAGAAATGAACATCCAATGTTATCGGCATGCTACCGTTTCAATACTTTAATTATTTAGCTCAAAGTGGTAGTACAATATCAACTAAACTTTAAAACTCGTCATGACATTGACTTTCATCTCACGCGCGACTATTAGTGTAGATTAATAGGGGGTTAAAGACTAGTGCAAAACAAAAACGTTATCTATTTACTCTAACTCTTAATGTGAGCTGACATAAGACTAGGTTGGGAAGGACTTAGATATGGTCGAATCAAAACCCGGTATCAGTATATGAAGCCTTTAGCAAATGGTTTGAGCCACCTAGGAAGGTGTAGGCTACTTGATTGACGTCTTCGACATGCCAAGAACCAATGAATGAAGACTGTTAATGATATGGCTCAAAATTCCTCTCAATGGCGTAGATACATTCCAGTCTTTATGACTTCTCTTTCATATCGATACAATCATCATCCTATCTTTCTATGTTACTCTTCTTTCATCCTTATATTTCTGCTGATTGTAACTCTCACTTTTTCCCTTACCTTTGTGTGTGTGTTACATAGAGAGCCATAAAACAAATTGAACTACTACACTTCTGTGAAAAGTTCTATGCGTTGAAACTCAATCAATAAAACTTTAGTTCTTAATGATTTGTGGTGTGATGAAATATATTAACACAGAAATAACATTAAATGTTTATGTGAGTGTAGAACTCAAGTTTTGTTTACATTAGTTAATATAATAAATAATAAAAGCAGGACTTGCACAGTATGATGATATGTATATATGTATGCACGCAAGCACGCGAGTATGTAAAAAATACGTAGTATATAGAAATAAGTCAATATGCATTAAGATATCTGAAGAAATCTGCTACGCCCATATAAATAATGAAAAGGATATAGAATGAAACTTAGAAGAGATGTTTTGCAAAGTTATAAAGTTACATTAATTATGATTATGTGTATAACAGGATTTGCGAGAAGTATTGTCCAGTAAATAATAATATTAATAATAATATCATTATTTCGTTGTATGTGACAGAGGAAATGATATTTTGAACAAAGTAAGAATGAAGATAATTTGCAGGATTAAAATGAGTTCCTTTTATTTCATGACTTTTCTTATATATATATATATATATATATACTTCAAAATTATTTCAACTAGAAAAGCAATTTTATAATTTCTTTTTCGTCATCCTCTTAAAGAATTATTAAGTACCCTTCTAGTAAATATTTATAGTTTGCAAATGAACAAAATCCATGAAATACAAATGGACTGTGTTTCTATTCTGTAAAAATGTCTTTGTTTTTTTGTCCAAATTAATGAAGGGAACAAGGTATGTGTGTGTGGAGATCTAAATTAACATCAACGTAGATTTCGTCATAAACCAACACCAGTTAGAGAATGAATAAAAATCAGGGATTACTGGTGTAATGAATGTTTATATGAAGCGTCGGTGGCACAGGGGTAGAATGCTCGCCCATCACACATGTGATTCGGGGTTCTATCCCTGGTCAACGCATTCCTTTACCTCGCCTGGATGGAGGTAATCCCAGTGAAGGGGGGAGGTTGGGGGACATGAAGCTAGCGACCCCATACCGTAAAAATAAACAATAGTGCTACCGAAACTTCAAAGCTCTGGCTTGAAGCCCTATGTTCCACTGGGAACCTAAAAGAATAAAAAAAAGAAAAGGAAGCATAGGCTGGTGGTATAGCTACATCACGAATTGACAAAGTTAGCATTTATGGGTCATTGAATTCCAGCTTAAGTGGTTGGATGGTCAGTGAGTTTGGTCTCGTAACCTGAAAATTTCAGGTTCGATTCCCAGTGGTGTCGTGGGTGTAGACTACTGAAGAGTCCAGTGCTCCTTGGTTTTCAATGATTCTCTAACTGAAGTTGGTTTATGACGAAGTCCACATTGAAATATGACTCATCTTCAGTATTGATAATAAGCAAAAAAGACGAAATTCTATGGCATCCTCTAATTGGAACCAACCAACAGAGTGCACATTTTTGTCCAGAATATAACCAAACACTGATATAAATTACTGTGTTCACCCAATACGATGTAACATCTTTGTGTTAAACCTAATATTTGAGCTCGACTTGGAGATGTTATTTAGCCGATGGTAGACTAGCATGTACCTGCATCTTCAGGGAGTGATGTTCTTTCCACTGGGACTCGAACGCATCGTTTCGAACGACAAAGAGTTAATCACTAGACCTTTGGACTAACAGCGTCAATGGGAACACTAATACTTATATAAGATGTAGGTAATTCTGGCTGACGAGTCCCAAATAAAACAAAAAACGCGTCCTGGATAATACTGCTAGTCATTATCAACCAAACGTTATATTAGCCTTAAGGCATCGTCAAAGCATCTGTACTAGGAGCTGGTATGTCAGCAGAGACCGCATATTTCGGAACAGTAAAACCGATTACCGGAAAATTAAAATAATTTCGAGAAAAAATAACGACCTGAAGATATTTGATTATACTAGCTAACTGAATGCTGCATACCACTGGTGTCCGCATATTTTCTTCCAAAAACAAATTTACTAAACTTACGATAATAATTATTCTCATCAGAAGGCATACACCAGAGGATGTTTCCATTCAAAATTAACTTCTTTGACTGTTAACACTTACTGAGTTACTTATAATGTTAGTTTTTGGTTAACAGCGTTGACATGTCAAAAATCTAAACCTTTCCTATAACATATATACTGAAATTTGGACAGTTATATAACACCGATAGATTACTTTCATTATTATTGAGGATTTTAAATAGTCTCCTGTTGTTATCATATAATTAGTTTAGTGAGTTTTACGGGTATACCTGGATTTTCATGTTTAAGCCATCGCCATCCTTATCAAACAGTGTTAGCTTTCATAGGAATACGGAATTCATTATAGCTGATCAGACGAAAACATGGCGTCAGTCCATGAAGACTGTTGGCTTGAGCCACGTAGGAGTTATAGTGTCAGGCTGACGTCCTATATATGCTGAGAACTAACGGTTGGAGGTTGTGCCTTGAAATTGTCTACTGCTGAAGATAGGATGACTGCCCGGAGTACTTTGGCAACGAGCCAACCAAGGACCTATCACCAAGCGAATATGCAGGATGAGATGAAGATGGATTGGACATCACGCGTCAGACCCTCGAATGGCACCTAAATGGGAAAAAACTAGTTAGACGTCCTAGGGGGACATAAACGAAATCGTGTGGGGAAGGAAATGAAAGGGTATGATAGATCGTAGTATGGCGAGTGCTACTGATAAGATTTATCAGTAGTATATAAAGACACGTCCATCTGCATAAAAACATCAAATAGCAGGGAGATAGATTTGATTTCAGAAAAAGCAAATGATAAAGCCTCGTGGAGATACATAAGAGACGTCAAATGAACACAAAGAAACACAACATGAAGTTCAGAAGTACCACACCATGAAGATCTGTGCAAATGGTGCGTTGAAGATAAGGTGTACATAATTTCGCTACATAGAAATAACAGATTTCAAATAAACATTCCTTTACCAAATATCTTGCCTTCTGTGGTTACAATAATACATTCATCAAGGTGACAGTGTACTATAATAAACCCACAGACAGTGCTGATCATATAGCGTAATTAGTAAATCTATGTCACATTGTGCTAAATTAGATTTAACAATAACTTTTTTTAAATTGCAATTTAAGACGACACTGCATTTTTTAGTCTCGCATTATTTGATGTTGTTATTGAACAAACATTTTATATACATTTAAAAAACAATCGGAATTAAATGACCACTATACTATCTTGCACTTGAACTATAATATAGTTTTTGACATGATTTTAATTGGTCTTTACCGACTATTGTATACTAATATTAATAGATTTATGCGAATAATGATTGAGGAAGAAGTTACTGAAAGCAAGCGTCAACTATGACTCTTCTTCTTATTATTATTACTAAAAGTAGTATGTATATTTAAACACACACATATATAGAGTAATCATGAAATCCACTAAAACAAAGTTTACTGCTTAACTCTTTAAAAATTGGATTTAAGTGAAAGTACCAGAAATAAACTTTCTTGATAGATGAAATCCTCCAAACAATCAAACAAAATCCCAACAAAAACCAATACTTGAAAATCAATGAGATGCTCACTAGCGACTGCGCCTATTCAGGTAGTGACCTGGGGTTCTGGTGGGAAGCCGTGACCAGTAGGGTACAGCAAGTTGAAGATGGGGCAGTAACTCATAGAAGGAGGTATTGAGAAGTGGTCACGTTATGTCATGAATTGGTTAGAATTCATGGACTGGCCACTGGATCCGGTCCCATTGGCTTAATGGTCTACGAGCCAGCTCGCCTTGTAACCAGGAGGTCCTGGATTCGAACCCTGGTGGTGGGTGTGTCTGTCTGTCTATCTGTTTTCGACATAGAACTTTGCACAAATGTGCGGAAGTTCAAGTCGCCACATTCGTGTAGCACGCGAAGTAAGAGAAGAAAGTACAAGAAAAGCATAATAGAGACAGTGAGCAGAGGTGTGAGACAAAGGAGTAATACAGAAATACAAAACAGTTTCATTGGCGATCATAAGTCACAGGGAGTGGATGCATCTGCACCACTGAGAACGATTTTGAGCCATGTCACCAATTGTTTCCAACCATAGATTTTACCGTCCCGAGGACCCCAGCCTGGAAGTCTACACCTTCTACGTGGCTAAGACCAACTGTTGTGGATTTCATTGACTGATGCCAAGTTTTTGTTTGTGGGTGTGTACTGATGAAGAGTCCCAAACTAGGAGGAAACAGCTGTCCAGTACTCCCAGCTGGTTTCCCAATGGTTCTCTAACTGATGTCATCTCATGATGAAATCCTCCAACCAATCAAACTATCTTGATACTGAGATGATATCAGAGAGTCGTGAATTGACAGACTGTTATTGACGTAATGGATAACTGCAGTAGGATGATGACAAGATTAATAGTTGGGTATGGTAGCTCAGCTGGCAGAACGTTAAACTACTAGACTGAAGACCGCTGAATCGAACCCCAGGTTCTCATTTTACCTTCAATCACCCCCCCTTAACGTTATTTAAGTTATTTTGGACGATGGTGACTATCAGTGGGGTCTAGGCTATGTATGTCGACACAGACCGAGCATTTCGGTCTAACATGATTTCAGTTAACGGGAAATGCAAATTAACCTAAAAAACCAAAACCAAAACAAATAATAACTGATACGCGTTGTATAAAACGTGGCCGGCGTTTGAGCCAGTGAGTGGGAACAATATCACTCACTTAGAATACAGGTCTACATTCAGATGACGAGTCCCAAATAGGAAGAAATGTGCCCATTGGAATTTCACTGCTAGTCACTATTAACCAAAATAATGCCACGTAAACAGATATTGTTTAAACATTAAATAATTTGAGTCTGCATTCTACTTATTAAAAACACAAGAGAAAGTGTGTATAAACCTTCGTCCAATAAATATATTTATAGACAAAAGATTTGAACAAATAATTTTCTACTTTAGTTTATTGTCTTGAGGAATTAACTTTCAATCAGTTAATAAGAAAAGGCTTTAAACTCTGTTTAAACTACGACTCTGACTTCTATGGACTTTGAGTGGTAGCATTATAAGCTATTTATTTATGTGGATTAAATGTAGCTACAGAAATATAGACATCAAATTCACTGAGAATTTAGAGAGAGAGAGAGAGAGAGAGTAATGGAAAGGATGTAAGTGTAGAGTATGTTATATGATCTATCACAGTGCCCAAATTTTATACTTATATCAACGAAGTTCAGTAAATCAACTCGTGAGATAAGCAAGCATCTATCATAAGACTTTAGAGATAAAAAAATAATAATGATAATATGAGGAAACTTTTCCTCTCGTTCATTGGTTCATTAAATCAAAAATTCAAGAATATGTACTTATGCTATGATACTATTGTATATACTTACTGACAGTCCAAGCGAAATAGAATCTTTGACGAAAACCAAAACACGCAATTGATAAGTAGATATACTTTTGAAGATAATTTTTTTTAGCAAAATCATCAGCTAGATAGATAGGAAAAGAAACAAAATTTAAACAAGAATATAGTAAAAAACATAATTTATATATATATGCAAACATTAAAAGCTGCAATGACATGCACTCAAAAGTCAATAAGTTTGGTATAATAAACCATTAAAATGAGAAAATTTTCAATTTAACACAGAAGAATTGCCTTGATTGTGGGGGGTATAAAAATGTTACTGTAGTTTAGACAGACAAAGCAATTTCAAGCCAAGTAAAGCCAAGGGAGTTGATCTAAGTTACCAATTCACTTCATTTGATACAACAAGACGATAGACAGGAAAAACAAACAAACAAACAAATGTTACTCGACGATCACCTTTGAGCTAAACTGATGTTACTGGAACCAAATTCATAACATATAAATTACACAGTTAGAGGTGAGATGATCTCATTATAGCTTTTTTTGCAAACTGATATAGTTCAGGTCACAATATGTGATCTGTTTGATATTATAAAATGCCAGTTAAGAAAATAAACATCTCAATGAATGATACTATATGCCACTGATTAATATAGGTCGGCGAATACTATTCACATTAACTAAAAGTGCTTGCTAGTTAGATCGAAGTGATCCAAACACCGCAGTGTCGTTTCACTCGTTTTCAGTTGTGTTTATTAGCGATAGTACTTGATTTTGACTCAATTCAGAGAGTCGAAACTCATATCAATCAATCAGTAGTGTATGCCATCATGAGTTGACGCTTGCTTTCTTTATTGCATTTATTGTGTTAAGTGGATCACATACTATGATCTGAACAGTTCCAGTTTGCTAAAGTAAACTGTGGTTGTAATACATGAAATGCTGGATTTAAAACCGTGATCTATTGTCTAAAGGTTGATTGACTAAGTCAATGGAATACACTTCAACAGTTTTTTACCATTGATTTCCGACACCTAGAGTATCTTAATAAGGTAGTGTATATTGCTAATACTATAAAGATGCACTTTGTTCGAAAAATTCATGGATTCACAATCCTAGACCATAACCAGAGTGCGACAAGTAGTGTAAACCCAAAAATCAAATTATCTCTGCAAAGCATGTTAGAGAGGTATGTGACTGACTGACTTATCAATGTAGAAATTTGCACGGAAGTTCCGCACTTCAAGTTAGCATACCTAAAAGAAGCATACATAACATTGGAGTAAAGAAGTATGACGAGAACAAAATAGATGAAGAGATACGCGAGAGAATAACTAGACGATTATAGTGGGAGTTTTAGGATTTGAAACATTTCAACGTGACATTACATTCAGTAATTTTTGATGCTTGAAAATCCTAATTAAACAATCCACACCGAGTAAAGCACACCTGAATCTCGGAGGAAACATAAGTTTGCTGCAGATGGTAGGTACATCTTACTGTTGATAGATAGAACTCTTTTAACAACTAATAATTATAATTTCCCTTAATCCCCTATTAACAATACTTCGCTGTTGTGATATAATATAGATTTCACCTGTGTCCACTTGTTATGTAAACCAACGCCCCTTTTAACGCAAACAATTGCTGGATTACGTAATAGGAACTGTCCTTTGTATACTTAGACTATCATTTTAATTATAGTTTAGAAGTATATTTACTGTATAGTTTACAACCGAAAAGTTTCAACTATTTAAACAGATAATGATAACATATAACTATCTAGATGACTTTAATAACAGACTTTATTAAATCATAAAATAAAAAGGCTGATAGTATATAAGTCTACATAGGAATATTATAAATATCGGTAACTTAAGATTACAATAAAATCCTTATATTAAGTGTTACAGTCCTTTTTTTCTTCCTTGAAATACGTAACATCATGCAGAATTATATACAAATTATTCGGTTAACTGAAATATTCAAACTCCTCACATGGATATACTACTATAGGTAATTTTTTCTCTCCAACTTATTCGAGTAAATTCAACTTTAAATTAACTACTATAATAAACAAGATTGACGTTCCACTAAGTAGCTTTGTAAAGTTTGAATTTGTTCCGACCAAATCTTAAAAACGTATATTAGGCTTAAGTACAAAGGTATATTTAGTCTTTAGGATTCTAATAATTTACCTTATGATAACATTCAGTATTAATATAGTCTAGGAATTTCTGTCTTAGATAGTAGAGAAGATAGTGGTGAATGATTAAAAGTGAGATAAAAAAATTTCACTCATAGCACTATTCGATTTAGCGACCTCCAAGATTAGTAGCAGAGCACTCCACCAACTCAGCTACAACATTGAGCTGATCAACGGGTCATTATTTCATTGCAGTCATCTCACAGATTCGCTCGTTTTGACTCATTTCCTGGAACAGGTCTTTTAAGTTCCACGCAATGAGCCATACTTATTGTGTGAGGGTTTATGCTACTACCCAGTTACCCGGGCTAAAGTGGATGGGGTGGATTAAAATCTACGAACAACTAGCTGAAAGCGTTTAATCCAATGAGCAGTGTCTTTGCGTTATCGCACATGTTCCCAGTGGTACATAGGGCTTCAAGCCACTTCACATTTTTGTACCCGGTCAAGTGGTTAGCGTGACTAACCCTCACACAATAAGTATGATAAATGATATAGTGTACATGAAAAATCTGTTCAGATTAACTGACCAAACTTTAAGCGGCACTTAATAATTAGATTTAACATAGGTAAACAACAACAACAAAAAAAATTAACCACACTTACACAAAAAGTATTCTGGTTTAAAGCTTGACAATGCCCATATCGTCAATATGGTATGGAGCAAGAGAAGTTTTACCTGTTTCCATTTTTCAGCCTAGATAAAGAAATAAGTTATTGCCTTAGTAAATTTAAGATGAAAATTTTAGTGTACTGCAATACATTTTAGAAACAATCTTTAATTCACTAAACTTTTATTTCGGTTGAAGTTGGATTTCAGTTGCTTACATATTCTAGTTTCCAAAAACAGCATTACATATTAGGTAGCTACAGTTTCCAGTTTGCTAGTAAATTTCTATTTTACAGCTTTTAACATATTTATTGCATGTTTTTACCTCCTTTAGATTAGAAAATATATTTTCTCTATTCTAAATCACGTCAAATGATAATTGAAACCCAATATAAACTCATTTCAAGTGAAACCATAGTTTATTAGTTTTGTAAATATAACTTTAAGGCTAGTGAATGTTGAGTTTTAAAGCCGTCCCATGTACCAAAACATATAGCTGGATAGTATAATCAACCTTTAGATATGTGACTTATCTCAAGGTTATTAAACATACAATAGATAGCTAGTATATTATCCAACAACTATATAACGTTAACTTACTTTGGCAAGGCGTATCTCTTCTTTATTTTCCTCCTGAATATGTAAAACGATAAAAGGGTGGTAAATATCAATCATTGAAAACACTTATTTCAGATATTAAAAATATTAGTACCTGAAGATTTTTAAGTTAAGTGTAACGTCACTAAGTTACAGACTCTTGGTTTTCAATCATGTGATTAATTGGTGCTGCAATAATTTTAACTTTACTGAATTTACTTCATAAGAATATTAGTATACTATCCTCATTCTCTAGTTATGTTGCTGTATCACCCACAGACTCTATAATGATTCCAATAACTCATGCTTTACCCATCCAACCTATGTAATAATACGAGACAAGATTCTGTATCACATCGAGTATAGTGCAAAAAGTGGTGCAACACAATTAAGGATTGACTCCTTGGTATATATATATATATTTATATATATATATATATATATATATATATATTATATATACAGTCTGGTGACACCGTATAACGGCCTACAGAAAACATAGTAAACTACTGGATAATAAATTATTACTTCTGAAGAATAGATCATATGGAAATAAAACGAGCAAAATAAGGCTTAAAAATAGGGTTATGTACAAATACCCTTTAGTTCAAGGCGCCTAACAAAAAATAAATAAGCTAAGTGAGCATTTTGACTTCCATAGCTTCACTACTTCCTGTTTTCCTAAGATTGACAGACCGAAAGTTCTCATCACAATTTACAAAATTTCACAGTGTCTCATTTTCATTCAACTTCACATATGTTTTTCCCTTATGTACAATTTCCACAACTTTTAAGCATTTGACCCAGTAAAGGAAAATACCATCTTACGAAAACAAAAAAACAACAACAAATGACAAGTAAGAAGTAAGAGGCTAGTAGATGTATGCGATCTGTCTCTTGTGTTAGATGCTATAATATCGTGAGCAATAATAAAGTTAAGAGTAGTGTTATGTAAGAAGGGAAAGGTAACCAGTGAGGCTGTTAAGCTGCATTGATTGAGATGACTGGGACATATTGCATTAATTTTAACATACGCAAAAAAGAAAAATATAAAATATTTAGGGCTTACAAAGAGCTTTTTATCACTTTCGTCCATCAAACGTTCTGACTCTTGACCTTGGATAAATCTTAGATAATCAGCAAAGAAGTTGAAAGGACCAATCATTACGTTATGAAATGAAAATAAGTATCCACCTAGTTGCAGAAGGCGAGGTCGGCGCCTACATATAAGGAAAAGAGGTAAGCACCAAAAGAGAGAAATTATCAGAGCACAGTAAATAATTTGCCAAGAATGACTTTGAAATCTGACTAACAATTGCAAATGACGAGCCACAAGTACAGTTCTATACAAATAATAGCATGAAAATGATTCTTTGTTAACTTACAATGAGGACTCAAAGCAATTTGAAATTAATACGTGATGATTAAATATGAGACTGGAAATTTGTTATTCCTATTTGGGAAACGTGGTAATTGTGGCTGATATAAGGGTAAGATGAATCAAGCGATTCAGACCTGGTTAGTGTGTTAATGAATGACAGACGACTCACCTGCGGTGACATTTAGGTAAAAAAGTGACTCACACTGCCAGTTACAGAAGAATGGAACTACAATGCGAATAATATTTTTTGAATTTGCAATCTGTATTTTGATGTTAGATATGCTCGGTATGTGAATATGCAAACTTATAATCAAACTTATTTATTGATGAGAAATAATCGTTGTTTCAATCACAAAAATGCTGAGTAGTCACTTATACGTTGCCTAGCATCGAAAAACACTGGTAAGGACTGGTGAAATTTTACAGATTTGACGTTTTCATAACATAGTTAAAGAACCCAGAAATGTTGAAAACATAAGGATATTAGTGGAGAAAATAAATAAAGTCACAGTGAGACAAATTTTAATACCAGTGGGTTATGCAGTTCCTATTTTTAAGGAAGTAGAAATGAGACTTTACACTAGGTTTTTTTCAAACAGACAACCTTATATCGACTCTACAGCTGTGCTGTTTAGTACTGGTCACGCACAGCCTTTATAAATGTGATTTTGTAATAAAATATCTTATATTTAGAGGTAGTACTCGATTCAAAGGATAATCCTGAATTCAATCAAGCACGCCATAAGAAAACATTCCGTTTGTTGAAATTGTTACATAAGAATGTAATCAAATGGATATTAAACATATAGAAGCATTTAACTCACTCTACAGCATTAAGTCTGTGATAATCACGGTCAACAACTCCTTCCTTTGCCAACTTTACACCATCATTTATATTGAAGGCTAAGGAAGACAACTTTTGCGTCTGCACCATCAATGGACTAAAAATAGCATTAAATAAAAGTCACTTACGCAGTAATGTCAATAGAAGGATTGCGAACAAATTTATGAATATGTACTCCGGATAGATACATCATTGAAAAAATAAGAATACCATACTGAGCGATAGATAGTGGGAGAAAGACCATCATGAGATATGCTGGAAGAGCTTGAGCAAACATATGAATAACAAGACTGAAGAAAATATTATTAGAGGTTAAAATAAATTACGATCCATAGCCAATGTAGAGGATTATTAGTCCACTGATAAACTCAAAGAAATGACGTCGTTTGGAATTTTCTATACATGGCGGTATGCATTTCCGCATTGCATAGCCAGATAACAATGACAAGAACTGGCATATTAAAAATCGCCACTATATAGCTCAAAATTGAAATATGATAAAATTACATGCTCCGGGCCAATCACGGATAGGTATCGAAAACTCTGTTCCATGAAAACCTGAAAGGCATATGCCGCGGGCTGAGCAACCACAACTCTTTGTGATTGCTGATGCAGCTAAACGAGTGCAATTTGAATTTCGATTCAGTTTAGTCAGACCGATCGTTTTCAAAAGGCTATAACAACAAATTCTCTCAATTACTGCAAAATATTTTCGAAAAGTCTGATTTTTCAAGTGGGCAGAGTTGTGACTTTTCTAAATGTGAAAAGACTTCGAAGCTTTTGAAGTTCTAGTATACTACGACAACAAACTTGCCTAAATTTCTTGACCAAAGATGTCATACATATGACTTTGAGGAACTTTCCACGTAGAGTTAAATGTCTTGAGTTCACCAGGTGTTCTTTTACCGAGCTATATACATACCAAAGTTCTGTCTTCGCTAACAATGCTGGTTGACGTTCCCTAACTCCCATTATAACCGGTCGCATAGTACGACCGACCGTCCTGTTAAATTTACTTTTTTATGTCACGTTTTGCACTAAGCCTATGGGAGATAAAAGAAGTCTACCAACTGGATTCATTCCTTGAAATTATCTTCTAGTGACTAAATGATTATCTCTATCTACTAACACTGAAGTGATGCTGCAAATTTAGGCTTGGATGAGTGGAACAGTGGACGATACATTGTAATAAAGTGATACGTTCATGTTATTACTCACAATCGCCTTTATTCAGTGGCATCTTTTGACTGCATTGTGTACAAATTCCGTTTTACTCAATGAGTGTCACCACGAGGTACTTGTTAATGATATTATGATAATCTAGGCCAAGGAGTGAGGAAATCGTGCTACCGCGGCTTAGGAGGAAAGTACACCTTCATATGATTTGATCTATGCAGTCAGAGGGGCTCTTAAGAGAACTTATTATCTTCAGAACACAACGGCGCACATGATTCCTTTCTTATGAACAGTGGTCATATGAGCAAACCCAGGGTAATAGGTTGAATTACGAAGACAAACCTTATAACTTAGGATGACATCAACATAAAGAAAGATGTCAAGTAACTCATAACAGAAACCTCATCTAGTTTGAAATGAAGACGGGGGAAAATATTAATACTTACTATTACTGATGGCTGTGGTAGAATAGAAGGCCATAAGGAGTGAGAATACTAGAGAATGTAAGGTCCCTGGAAGGTCGGAGTTCTGTTAATGATGCATGTCATGTGTCACACGAAATTTGCAAGCGAAAACCAACAAGTTGGCAGAGAGGGCAACTAGGGCGATATTTCGGTGGAACATGGAGGAAACAGATGATGTAGGTCCTTGATTAATAAGGAAGATCAGTCAGTATTAGCGGGAGAAATCTGAGGGGTTCATCTTTCTTTTTACATGGTTTGGTGAGATCACCTCAACCACATACGATACAGACAGATTCAGAAAAGCAGTGCGAGCCTTCATTATTCTGGAGCCAGAAAACGTTTCCAGCTCTCCGCTGCAGACTTTCATCAAAAACTATCTTCTCTGCCCCGGTGGTGAAGATCGGATGATCGATCAGAAGGGATAAGCAACAAAAACCTACCACCCATCAGATATGCAGAAGTTAAGGGATGTGGTTTGCACATACACTGGGAAGATCGATGTGAGATATCACATGCCAGGCCTTAAAGTGGAGTGGAAATCCACGAGGTGAGCCTGAGTCAGAGTATAACTTTTACAGCATCAAGTGAAGATAAAATGACAGTTTGTTGGCTGCCATAGAGCCGGCTGAAGGTGATGATATGGGATAGAGTGGAATGTACATCTTCTGGTGAAGCACGATATTCCATTTCAATCAAAAAGGATGAATTATGGTGAAAAATTAAGTGTGAACATTTTCAGTGGTTATACATCACGAAATGCTCTTAGTTCACCCCCCTCCTCGAGAAAAGTTGTGTTAGTGACTTGATATGATTATGAGCAATAGTTTGTGCTCGAAACGTCATCAGGTACTATTACTGCACAGCAGTGTGTGATTTGTCAAAATAAAATTTCACCTAAGATGGAGTTATACTCTACCTCAGTACCCCAGTTTTATGCTTATCACTAAAGCTGCTAACCTACGAACTTTAATCATCGTTTAACTCTGGGGGTTGACCTTCACTGTTTTATTGAACTGGATAAGCCGAAGGTAAGCAGTCAAGCACCTACACAATTTACTCAACCTTGTGTTAAATCTAGTGGTTCCTATGTAGTCCGTAATCAGCTAACCTAATGCGAATACCCCACAACATCACTCTCTACACAACCATTCAATTTTCAGCGGTTAAACTATTATTCCAATTCGATTTGTTTCTAGGAAACCGGCTGGTTACACCTCTTGAATGGCTTCCAGGTCGTTTCCAGGTGTTTTCAATTATGAATAATATTCAGCGTTATTTTGTGACTAGCTGTCCTGTACACCTAAGCTTGAGTCACAATGCACGATGACTCGTAAGCCTGTTTCATCTAACCTGGTGGCAGGGCTGCTCTTAAAACGTTAAGAAGTGGTGAAGTGAGAATATGACGCTTAAGGTTGTTCAGGGATATTTTTATTAGCGACGGTATGAAGAGAGTAAAGAGATACAAAATCACAACATGAAGTAGCAGCCGCTCTCTTTATCCATGAAAACCCAGTTCTCCTTGGTATGGCCCAGTCTGCACAGATAAAAAATTTGACGATGAAAGGAAAACTTCTAAGACTTGATTTAAGTGACGAAATTCTTTGATCCCCTGCATACTATATACTCTTTGAACAAATCTAGGTTCCTCTGGGTGTCAAAGAATAAAAGGAGTACGATGGCGTCACATCATATCATTCACACTCATAGACACACTTCATCTTCTAAAGCATAGCACTTGATGGTGGAAAAGATCATGGAATGCAATGATTTCAATCCTGAGTTATCAGTTCTGTTGTAGGGTCTATTCAACAAAAAATGCAGTGTTCGCATATAGTAAGGTGGTGACTACGGAATTAAGGGGGAAAAGACGAGTAAACAAGTATGAACTATTGTCAATGGAGTTGAAGATTGAACGATCAATTCTTGGTTGTTTGCTCAAAATCAACTTCCCCAATTTTCGCGGAAGCATCAATACGACAGTCATCGTCTCATCGGTCGCTGTTCAGAAAGAAGATTGAAACATCGTCAGAAGTAATACAGAGATTTATTATTGTAATATTTGTTTTCAGACCTTAGTTTGCTTAGTTCGCTTATTCCTTTTATATGTTGGTGTAACAATACAGAAATATCAAACGGCAGATCGGTGTTTTGGTTTTTGCGTCCGTTATAACTAAGCGTTTCTGAGAAATCTTCTAAGAACAGCGTGGGCCCGAGCGTAGCGAGAGCTGGGCATTAACGGTTTATGAGACTTGGCTGACAGTTTCTGACGATAGAAACAGATCTGGCGGATTGAAACAGTTGGTGAAAGTTTGGATAGTCGCCGTTCATTTTTCCTGGTGCCGGTCAAGTCCTCTTTGAACAAGCAATATCTGGAACTTTTTTGGAATTGGGTCAAGTTCAACAATGCCTGGGTCAAAGAAGGGACAGAGTGTCTTGGATGCAAACAGGAAAGTAAGTCATGGTGACTTGTCTGTTAATTGTAACGATGTGTCTGATGTTAAGCATGACATGGTTGATGTTACTGTTTCGCCGTTCAGGGATGATAGGAACATCAAACTCCCTAAATTAGAACCACGGTGTTTTGATGGAAACCCGGCTGATTATTTACAATTTGTAAAGGAGTTTGAGATCATGTTGAGTGGTTTTTTATTAAATGATGAATTGAAGTTAATGTATTTGATGAGATATTGCACTGGAGATGCTGCAAGAGCTATACAGTGCTGTAAGTTTATGAAGCCAAAAGAGGGCTACTACGAGGCTATGAGCATATTACGTCAAAGGTTTGGAAGACCTTCGATGATTGCAGGGAAATTATTCGAGGCTGTTAAGGGTAATGGTGGTCAATTACAGGATGACTCCCAGGCACTCACTGAGTTTTTAGATAATTTGCTAATTTACAAGAATGGAATGATTTCGATGAATCGCGTGAGTGACCTCAACTCGAGTTTTATACTAGAAGTAATAGCAAGACGTCTACCTACTCGACTGCAAAGGAAGTGGGTGAAGATAAGCTCCCGTATGGAGGATGAGGGTATCGAGCCAAAGTTTGATGATATCCTGAAACTGGTAAATACTAGTGTCAATCAATCTATGAGCAAGTTCGCCAGTCTGTTAGATCTCACCCCTAGAATAGAGCAGTCTGAGGGTAAAACGCACTCATTGATGACGAATAAGCCTCAGAGAGGTGGATATCGAGAAGGCTCCATGATGTCTAGTAATGCATATAGATCTAGTGAGTGTAACAGGTTTCGTAGTACATCCTCAACAGATAAGTTGCAAGATGCAAGACAAACACGGTTGTTTTGTACTCGTTTGCAAGAGGTGCATACAAAGGTGAACTGTGAACCAGTGAGCAAGTTCAGTGATAAGCTAAATGTAAACTCCGGGCCTGACTCCGAATTGTGTGACGATAACGGTGCGGTGAAGAAGTCTGTAGTTGCAACTGGTAAGCCGTTGTTGAATAGAGTGTCACAGAATAGAGTTGCTGCTTCAGAGTGCAGTTCTGACCCTACAAGTTTACAAGGTATAACTAGTCAGAGTGAAGATATAAAACCTTTAATGATTTTTGAGGAGGAACCAAAATTGTCTACTTCTGTTATTAAAGAGTTTGAAAATGATGAACTTGACGGTAAATTGAATATTTGTGGTAATGATCATGATAGTGCAGATTTGTCTTTGGTTGATCATGATGAGATGCGGGATATGCCTACTACTGCTAAGTTAAATAAAGGTTCTGTACAACTACAACGTGAAGTAGAATTGAACGCAGATGCAGTTCCAGAAGATGTGCATACTTGTGAGACAGTCAGTGTAATTGATCAGCGTGTAGCCCACCTATCATCAGATGATAGTGCTAAACCCGAACTAGTAGTGAAAGACAGCAGTGGTGGTAATCTTGCAGTTGGACAACTATCTGAAAGCCGAAAAAGAACAGCTTCTGATCCACCGCTAAGTTCATCACCTTGTGTCACTCAGTCATCGTTGGTGTTTTCATCCACAATGAAACAGATGCCCATCAACTCAAGTATCTTGTGCAATGACTATGATAGTATTGGTGCGTTTGAAAAGACGAAAGATATTGCTCAGTTTAGTGTGGATAAGCCAAGTGTAAAGGAGAGAGTTATTGTTAAATTGACTTGCACGAATAAAGGCATTTCTAGTTTCAAGTTACTATTTGAATGTTATTATCTTTGGTGTAAATTACTCTGTTTCTATACTTGGTTGATGAGATATGTCGTGTGTTTGTTGGTCATCTATATTCTACGATACAATGACATGGGCGTGTTGCCGTTCAGATTTGAGGATATAGCTGATAGAAGGAAGTTAGCAAATGAACTCTGCGACGATTTTCCAACCTAGGGCGTCAACCTGAGAAGGGTTGTAGGCGTACTGGTGTAAGTCCTACAGTTCTTCAAGGGTAGTTTGTCGTGTCAGAATCCACAACATTTGATGTGTTGATTGTACATATGTTTGTGTTAAATAGTTGTGTGATTTCCAATTGATGTAATTGTTGGTTAATCTTGTTTGTGTCTGGACATTCCACAACTTACAATCGTCAACCTGTGAAGGGTTGCAGGCGTACTGGTGTAAGTCCTGCAATTCTTCAAAGTAATTCCACCAAGACATGATCCGCGAGGTTATTTGTACTATTTGTATATATGTGTGGTGTGTCATATCAATTGGTGTTTTTTGGATTCATTGTGTTTACTTGTTGTTTTCGTATCTTGTTGTTATTGCGTAATTTTGTTAAAATTTTCGTCGTGATTACTTCTGAAGTTGTTTCGAGTCTTCTACATTCGTGAATGAATTGATTGATGTTAAAGACAGCAGATGGGTCGTATACGCCGGGGAGGCTATTGCTGAGAATGAAATGCACACGGAGATAATTGTTAGCTGCGGTCCGACACGCCGGGGAGAAAGAGTGTAAACGACTGAGGCTCGCATGCGTCACCGCTACTAGAACTGAGGCAGAATGAGTGACAAGCGATTTCAGTGATAATTGATAGTGAATAGAAAAGAGGATGCTTGAAGAGTATCATGAGGTGCTGCTATGGTCACGTTGCATTCTGCAAGAGTCATTCTAGTAAGTGGCGATTGTGTTGGAAGATGTCAAGAGGAGGTCTCTGTCTGGAGGCGCAGGTCGTCAGCGATGTGTGAGATTGTGCTGTGGGTATGCTTGTGGTGTGTTGGCTTTTCTGTTTGTTTTCCATTTCAGCTCTGTCCGTGTGACCCAGGTTCTCGCAATGGCATCCAAGTCAACGTGCATTGATCGTGAAGGAAAAAAGGGTTGGATCCCTTTTTTGCCGGGGAGTGTCAATGGAGTTGAAGATTGAACGATCAATTCTTGGTTGTTTGCTCAAAATCAACTTCCCCAATTTTCGCGGAGGCATCAATACGACAGTCATCGTCTCATCGGTCGCTGTTCAGAAAGAAGATTGAAACATCGTCAGAAGTAATACAAAGATTTATTATTGTAATATTTGTTTTCAGACCTTAGTTTGCTTAGTTCGCTTATTCCTTTTATATGTTGGTGTAACAATACAGAAATATCAAACGGCAGATCGGTGTTTTGGTTTTTGCGTCCGTTATAACTAAGCGTTTCTGAGAAATCTTCTAAGAACAGCGTGGGCCCGAGCGTAGCGAGAGCTGGGCATTAACGGTTTATGAGACGTAGCTGACAAGTATACTTTCTTTAATATTTGTATGGCTCTATTTATCTGACTAACGAAACAAGATGATGAATGCACTTTTGTGTTTTGAACTATGCTCCATGGTTCGCTCGCCCACCACTACGGTGACACAAATGGAAGTTCAGACCTTATAGCTTTCCTCTGCAGTGATGTGTTGCTGGTCGACAGTTTGGACAATTATTTTGATAGAACAGTCGGTTTCTAAGCTGTCAGGTTAGACGGATATCCTGTAGTTTGTTTTAAATAAGAGTCGGGTGAATTTTGTTTCTGTAGCCCTGAAGAAGTGAAAAGATAAGACAAGAAAATATTACTCGTCAATCAATTGATATGTTTTGTAAAGTCGTGTGTATACCTACTATGATGTATAACATTCCGTTGCTGAGCACTAGCTAGTTGTAGCAGCTTGACTTTCCGTCTGCTTGCACCCCTGTTAGGAAGATCCTGTATGAACTTTCCCCTGGAGGCAGAAGGATAGACTGTGTAGTCACCCTATCTTACCAGTTGCTACCTGACATGATGTTGTAGGAAACCAATCGGTTAGGCTGCCTGCACAGATATGAAGCCGCTTTCAGTTGGCTTAAACTAAGAATAACGCTCACGATTTTTTTGTGGTTATCAATCCTGTTAGATTTGGATTTTAGCCACTATCTGCTGACCTTAACGCCTTCTCAACTAGCCAGGGGAAAATATAACACTTGCAGCCGCTGAAAGATGTAATTGTCGACGATGCTCTAGAGAGAGTGTAGAAGTAAATAATCACAACGCGGCTAAGCTGTCGAGCACTAGTCTCTTGATAATTATATAGAGCTCCATGTGTTCCAGTCCGAGCTGGCAAGCATGTGTATGTGCTCAATGTTCAGTTTGTTAGCATAATCCATACATATGTCATCAGAATAGTCACCTTATTCGAAAGCATGACCACCTGACCAGGAAGCCTCTTATACTAAATAAAGTCTTCATCAATGACTCAGGACTGGTCCCGAGTTCTATTACAACACGTACTTGGTGATTGCTTTTCAACTCACGGTGTATGCTAAAAAAATGCTGATTTTTTCTAGCCACATACCACAAAAGGTTATCGTATTCTCTCACTGAAAATCAATTATTTTTGTCAAGAGAAGAATATTTTCATGCTTGATCATATTTACACCATTTTTGTCCATCATTTCTATGTTTGACAAAGGTTATTTCAATAGGATTAAGTATCCTGGATGATGAAAGCTATTATGTAATTGTGAGACTCGCTGACTAAGGTTCGGGAAAGGGGAAGGACTTCGAACGCCCGAATAGTGTAGGATAACAGTGACCTCAGAATCAAATTCTTTTTATTGATTTTCTATCTCACTTGACGAAGACAGCTTGGTGGAGTCTTAGAGATTCTCCAGGAGACAGTAGTGATATATTTTGATCTTATTCGCGTGTCATAATAAAATATTGCACCGTGTTGTTCGCAACAATACTGCTACCAATCTGAAGATAGTTCCAGCGCGAATAACTATAATCTATTTTCATGTAATTGGATTTTCTAGTTCCACAGAACGGAGTGACTGAGAGGATCAGCTTCAGCAGTTAATTTTGAGTTATTCGAGTTAGCTATATTGTTTGCTGTAATTATACGATACTATCAGGTAATCGGTATGATAAAGTGGATGTATTTCATGACAGAATAGTGTTTTGTACAGGAATAATTGTATCCTGTCGACATTCTTCTTACAAACGGCTTGAATTTTAAGATTTAACAACGGGTTTGAGTGTAAGGAAAGCAATGCGTTGGAGTAAACGGCTCTATAATTATGAAATACCAAAGAAGAATTATAACTGGGACACAAATTTCCTGTTATTGTGTTTTCTGGGCCACAGAGCTTTCATTGACCGTCTGGACAACGTCTCCAAGACTAACTTCATTATTGTTAGTGCGGCGAGAATCCTAATATTCAATACGTGGGGTGCTGTGTGTTTAGGAAGACCAACTACTTTTAAGGCTAGGTTTTCAGGATAATAACTCTTAAAGACTGGGCGGAAAAGCATTTGAGAAAGTGATTTCTCTGGTAAAATTATTCGACGACGCAGGTGGAGCGGTAAGTAAATTAGTAAAATGAGTAGCTTTTGTTTGCATCGGCATCCACGATTCGGTGATGTTAAGTGGTCAAGCTTGAGGTGTTATTCGTGCACACATTCTATTCAGAAAGATGTTGTTATGAGTCAGAGTTACATGTGAACTAAAGGCTCTACGTAGTTAGTGTGAATAAAACTCTCACAAATCTTTATTTGTATATCACTGAAACTAGAGTTTTGGTTTGGAAAGCGGGCAATTCCTTTTTTTACCTACTTCAATATTTAATGTGTGTAAACAACGTGATCAATTGGACATTGAACATTGTTAGAGTGAATCAGTTTAATCAACAAAGAAATCGCGATCATATGGTTTAGCGTTCATTGGTAGCTATTTTTCCTAACTTCTGAAGTGAATTTACTTATCGCTGTTAGAAGAGACGAAGTGCAAATTTTCGGATGTTACTATGTGAGCTGTGAGATTTTATTATTTCACCATGGTTATTGCTTTCATCCTAATGTTAAAGTTCAAATATTGTAATAGTTGAATCTGGTGTTTCTATTAAATGATGCTTAATGACGTTGTATTGGTAACAGCCACACCAGTACTTTATTCAGGTGCATGTCTTCCTTCAAATAATGGTTAATACTATTTTTGTAATGAAGTCTCAAGATAAACACTATTAGATAATGCTGTATTTCGGTGCCTTTCTATAAAAGATGCTTCTATAGACAAAGGGTTTTCAAAATTCATTTTGCATTACAAAGAATTCAGTACTGGACATCAACAAAATTCATTTTGTTTTCGTACTACGTTAATGCATGCAAAATTTTGAAGTAAATGATACTGATAGCCTACATAAGTAAATAGTAGTTTCAGTGTCAGACGTAAAAACGCCAATGCGTGACTTGTGGATCTGGTTCTATTTTTTAACTTTGGTTTGAGAAATGACTTATTTTAAAAAAATTACTGCGAAAAGGGGACATTAGCATTAAATTTTTTTATATGGTTGTCCATTGAAATTCCCTTAGTAATGTGGGATACATAGGATGGAAAAGATATGTAAATAATTTCAATAGGCAAAACCAGCCAAAAGCCAACAGTGCTGATCACAATTTTTCGAGTTTGCAGACCTTAGTCAGCTGTTAATATATTTGACAACTCCGAGTACAAGCAACTAATCAATGAATAATTTTTTGAAGAATGTATAGTTATTTGACCATCGTAAAATAATTATTCTGATAGATTTCTTGGACGCTTCTGGAAATAAAGACGTTTGCTCGTTTTCTGATGTAATTTCTGACCGGATATTTTATTGACATTTATTATTAGAACTAAGAATGCTTTATTCGTGTATTTACTTGGGAAATATGGCGAACCTTTTGTTTTTTTTCAAATCCCAAGCTTAGGACAAACTCAATGAACTACCATCCTGTTATTACCCCAATGCACTAACTAGACACTCAAGTGACATTCTAAACCCTCAGACAATAACTGTGACTATAGGCCTATTGCATTTAAATAGAAAAGCAGTATTACCCGTAGGGATTGTAATTTTAATGATTCGTTGGCAGTCGTGTAAACAATATGGTGCACCGTAGTTTGTTCTTTAATATTAGAATAAATTAGATGACAGTAATTCCTAGCATTTTTGTTCATATTTGCCAGTAATGAAGATCAGCAACTTTGAAGGAACTCATTTTTTACACAGAGATAACCTGTGTTAAGCTCACTTTGTTTCTTATACAGATTGCAGTATCATTATACTGATAATCTTTGACGAAACCGCTGACTGCATTATGAAAGAGAACCCTGAAATATATGCAGTCATTGTTACGCTGTCTTAGTTAAGATGTTGCATCGTATCTTAATAATGTGACATTATATGGATTGCCATACTACTTACAAAAATGTTTCATAAATATCAGACGACTGACTAATACTTTTAATTTCGATTTTGATAAATACTAGTTATAACCTCGTAAGCAACATTTTCTGTCTTTCTGAAGCATCTTAGGTTTTTTATTGCTTTGCATGCTTATCTAAATATTAAAGTAAATTTCACATAGAGCAGAGAGTTTTTGTCGTTATTCATGCCTAATTGTAATTGGTGTAGAATTTTAAATGTACCTTCTGAAAGACTGGTATTAATCACTACCAACGTGACAGTCACTCTACGTGTAGAGTTGGTGCTGGTTTGTTGTGAGGTTTAAATTTTATAAAGCAAAAACGTATTACTGATCTCCGATTTCTGTTTTTTTCAAGTAGAATTCCATATTTCAATGGGGAAACTTGAATATTCTTAGCTGTAATACTGTCATAGGCTGTTGAATGCAGTAATATTTTGATTGTTTGATTTATTTATTTGGTGAACTCTTTCTTTGACCATCAATGTATCTGAGCAAATGCAACTTTATTCTGTTCGAACATAGGAGTCTGTTTCATTGTATTCATTTTTAATCTTTATTTGCAATTTGAGGTGATTTTTTTCACTTTCTTTACGTGACGAATTTTCATTCACTAAATTTTAAGTTCAAGGCCTCAATTGATGCAGTTCATTGAGATAAATGAATTTGCTACGCTTTTGTATCGCCAGCTTTTATATATTGTTTTTAGACTAGAAGGGATCTTTTGAGGTGTCACGCAGAATCTCTCCGTTTCCCTTTTATGAGATCCTCTACTGTTTGCGCAATGAAAATTGGATTTGGTGGACTTTAAGCACTTGATAATGAAAACCCGGACCCTGACTCCAAAAATTGCGTATTGTATGAACGGAATATGCGAGTAAATAAAATGTCTGAATAGACATCCTCAATGGCTAAGTACCAGTCAGCGGCAACTACGTTGGTCCTATAGTTTATCGGTTGAAAAGATGCTGAGCTAAAGAACTGCTATTATAAATGTCAAAATGAATAATTGGTTTGTATATAACATATTTCGACCCTCTTTTTCCACTAAGCCGAATTCAAATTTAGGTTAAACAAGTAAAATATTCTTTTCTTGTTTGGAGACCTACATTTTTATTGGTAGGCTATTTGAATCGAAGTTATTGATCTCTTACTGCTCATATGGTTACCGGAAAATTTATTACAGAGTGTGAGCTTTGTGTGGTACTATCAGTTAAAAGAGTGAAAGTTTCTAAGAGGCTAATCAACAGACTGCAAACAAAGGTATTTGGCTTCTGTTTCCATGGACAGTTAATTCAATTAGTGTTTCTAATAGAATGCTTCACGAACGATAAATAAAAATGCAGGACATTGAAAATTAAGTAGAGCAGAGAAGTTGTTTCTTCGTAGGCCCCAAGTTGCCAAGAGCAAGCACTCATAGCTTCACAAAAGGATGATACCAACGACCAGAGATCTTTGGTCAAACGTAGTGCCAGTTAACCACTTACCAAGCAGAAGTATCCTAAAACTACTGGACGAAGAGAATAAGTGGTAGCATGTTTGTCACGCGATCTGAAATTACTTGGTATATTTATACGTTTGCTAGTGAGTCTGGCGAAGAGTATGCGACCAGAATAAAACATGCGTGCAGCACTGCTTGATCTTTAATCTTTATTCCCGCTAATATTTGTATGTAATAAAATTGACTTTAATATCAGTAAGATTCCTGTGAAATCAGAAACTTCCGAAAAGATAGAACTGTTGATGAGGATCATATCTGCTTTCTGGATTCTAAATGAGGTTGATTGTAAAAGGTTTCATTTGGCAAAATCATATGTTACTAAAAATAATTCTGTGATAATTATGGTAATAAAACTGTAGAATCTGATAGAGAAGTTATAGAAAAAAAACACTCTTTGCTCACTAATCAGCCTTTTGGAATCATATGTCTAGTAATGCATATGACTTTTCCTGCAATGCATCAAACTTCTGCATTTCTTTTGTCTTGTATGTACAGTCTAACTTAGAAGTGTTAAAGATCAAATGATCCAGAAGACATAAACAAAGTAGAGCATTGAGCTGTCAAATTCTACGTCATTTACTGTAAACTGTGTTAATCTTGGTTGACTGTTGGTACCAACATAAATAATTAAATGTCTATTCCCCCGATTGTTGACTTTACTCATTGTTTGTCAGCAGATTTTTCTTATAAAAATGTCTAGTAAATACTTGAGTAGATTTCATCTGTAGTCCACATGATACCTGAAATATAGCCTGTTACTGAGTGCTTGATATACTCCTTCTGATAAGACAGTTAAAATTAATTTCATTTTGCTGTGAACACTAATTCCAATGCATAAATGTAATCTAAGAATAGTGGAATCAATACTGTTATAAGACAAAGTCTGTAACATATTTAGAAGGTGTAATCGCTCAGAATTATCCGCAAAAGTGATGTTACGTTGTATATACTAACTGCAATTTATTGATTTATAAAAACAGTTGTTTTCTCTAAAAACAGAACTAATCAAACTACTCTAATACTTGTTGGTTTTCTAAGAATGTGATGAAATTTAAGGTCAGTTTTATTAAGCAAAGCATTTGAATCACATACGCTTTGAGTATAATCCAGGTTGCTTAATGATTTATGCGTGATAATCAGTTTCACATATTTTATATAGTACAAATGAACATTCCCTACCTTTAGTCTTAAAATGAAGGGTTTGATAAATAAAAGAAACTACTATATGCATCTACTTTCTATTCTTATTTATAAGCAGATCAGTATATTTTGAACTGGCAGAAACAACACTACCGCTACAGAAACCTTAAAGCTAGAAACCTTATGTTTCACTCGGAAAGCAGAGAGTAGAAAATATTGGTTATCAATATAAGATCTTGTCGGTGATGATGTACAGATAAGTTTGAAATCAGTTATAAAAAGGACAATAGGTGTTTGTGTACTTTTTAAATTGGTCTTTGTGAATGCAGTTACATCAAATAGTTAAATAATCGTATTAAGGCCGGCTGGAGTTTTTTGATACAGGCCTAACTTCATGAATACATATCTGTAGTTTAAGCGTACTACATTTTCATTTTCACTCCCATAAACTTGGAAAGATTTTTTGATAAAAGTATTGTAGACAGTTGGGATAAAAGTTAGATAAGGCTGGTTTAAAATTGAGGCAAGATAATACGACTCATTTGACACATGAATAAAGTTTTCTCAGCCATAGGATAAATATAATAAACGGAAATGAAGTATTTCATAGTTTGTAAAGGTATTTTCTACTGGATGTTACGAGTTGATCACGGATTGATATTGAAAACCACCAGGGAGTACTGGACAGCTGTTTCATCCTAGTTTGGGAATCATCGGCAGTACGCACCCACACTACGGAGTTCGAACCCAAGACCTTCCGTCCACAAGGCAAGCTCGTATACCATTCATCCACTGGGACCAGATTCAATGGCCAGCGCATGAATTCTGATTTCTACCATTTCGTGATGCATTTAGCGCGACCCCAACCAATGTTATCGGTGAGAAATCCATCCTCACTGATCATGTCTTCCCACTGGAAC